TTGAGTATTGAATGAGAGACTGATTTGAATGCAAATAATGGTATCATTGAAGCGATGATAACAATGAGAGACGTGAACACCAGTTATATAAACAATACGCCGAACACTATCACCAATCATGGACTCAATCCAGAGGAGTATGTCTTAACCACTCGCCACCTCTTATGCCACTAACTCTTATCACGAGTTTTGTCTCAATTTTCTATGTTATCGCATGTCTTATAACACGTATTCATTGTCATTGTGTTTCCAGTCCATTAGTGTCATCATTATCTCTGCCGACGAGTCAGTACGTCAAGAGGTGTGTCATCATCCAGAAGGACGAGAATGGCTATGGCCTGAGGGTTAGCGGAGAGTCACCCGTCTATGTGGACAGTGTCCGAGAAGGTATGTCCCATCGCATCACTACCTCATTATATTCTCACATATCATACCATTAAACATATGAAATGATTTGTTTTTTAATTTCTCGTTTCATTTGTCGTCGACTAGTGTTTGTCATTCATTAAACAATTTAAACTTTGATTTTGTGATTAATTGGTTAATCAGTGTTTTTGTTGTGAATTTTTTGATTTAAATTGGATTTAATCAATTGTTTTGAAATGAGTGTTAGTTTTTGGTCTCTCTCTCGTGATTAATATAATTAATAGATTTGATTAATGAATGAATGTTTTGGTGAGAAACCTGTTAACCAGACATAAGTTTAAGACAGTATTAAATACGAGAATTAAGTGTCGTTTTTGAGAAAATTTCAATTATTGAGCGAAATCTCACTTTTATTTCCATTTGAATGTATGGCAAATGTGTGCAAAATCTAAAGTACTTATAATTTATAACACATAACACCCATAGAATTAATGATAAGTTTATTTATACATAGAGTTTAATATAGACGGTATATGTTTTAATAAGACTTAAGTATTTTAGTACAGTATTGCATAACTTTATTGAATGTTTGCATAAGTTTTTACTTTTATTTTGAAGTACAATATTATTTGTCTAAAATATTTGCGAGATATTAAAATAATTTTTGCATTTTTTCGCGTTTTTATGTCACTTAAGCAGAAAATGATTAAAATTATCTCATTTTTTGTGTTTTAATTGTCGCTAAAAAATGTTGTTAATGTAAAAAATTGTATAATGTTTATATGTTTGCGTTGGTTTAGCTATAGTATTATGCATTTCTTGGAAAAATATTGGTTTAAATCACAGTGTAATCCAATATTTTATAAACAAAGCACTTATTTTTGGTATAAAAATACTTTCCAATCGTTTTCGACATTATTTCCCTTCATTTCTGTGCATACATTGCAATAACACGTCTTTCCACTGAACCATTTAATTATTTATAACATTTAGATTTGTGTTTTATATTCAATAAATAAATATACTTTTCAATGCTATTAATGACATTTTATTAGATTTATATCATATATCAATTTATGGCAATTATGTGGATTCATTTTCATTAATCATTTCAACGTTAATGAAATCAATAGAAAAAGTTTTGAGCTTTTTTTACTCAAAGCTTAGTATCGTTTACGTAATGAATGCATTGAATGATGCATTGAATCGATAGATAAAGACAGTGAAATATTTTAGGATTCATTTGATGTATAAATATAAATGCAAACTCTCTGTTAATTAAGTTTATATTTATAGACAAAGAAATCAATAAAACTTATAATGCAATGACAATCACACGACTTGTATTTCCCATGATTTGATTCATACTTTTTGTATCGATTTTTCAATTTCTTGTCTCAAGACGTGTATTGATTAAAGCGAATGCATTTATTTCTGTACTCTAAAGGAGGCGCCGCCTGGAGAGCCGGTGTGAGACCCGGCGATGAGATAATCAAAGTATCGGGAACTCTGGTCACTCGTCTACATCACGGAGAAGTGGTGCGAATGATACAGAACTGCGGGTCATATGTGGGGCTCACTCTGCTCGGCATGAAGACACCGCCCGCGCAGAACATGGCCGCCAAAGCCATTCAGATCACTGCACCCCAACCCCCGTCCGAGAGCACCCAACAGGCCTACGACGAGACCAAAGTGGAGATCATAAAGGAGGCGATCCGTCGTCAGAAGGAGTACTTGGAGAAGGCGACGGCCAAACTGCAAAGGGATCCCAAGGACACGAAGAGCCAACTGGAGATCGACAAGACGAAGACGAGTATCATTAAGCTGGAGAAGGAGATCGAGAAAATGACTTTCGATGCGAGCCGACAGCGGCACACGTCGATGAGCGCCGAGAACCTGACGACCGGCGCGTCCAACGACCCCACGCTCGCCGCCGCCAACTCTAACGCGAAGAAATCGCATTCGTTTGGTCAGTACGACACGAGAGCACCCATTATGAACATGGAGTCCGACGATGAGAACGACGACTACACCAATAATAATAACAATAACGGCAGTAATAATCGACGGAACAGTAGTTTAGTGGCCAATTCCAAGACTCATTACCCGGATGTGAACGATATCCCCAAGAGTGTGGAGCAACTGCACGGACATAGCCTGCAAATGACGCGTTTCCTTCTGACCCAAGACCTCAAACCGCACGCATTGCTCTTCCATACGATGGCCGGACATGTATTCCCATTAGTGGCGCAGTCGTCGCACGCGAGTCGGAAGTCAGTGCAGCGGCTGGCCTGGCAGATAGCCTGCACGTGGCTCATGAACGACTCGCCCCTTACGTTCGCCGACTTTCCCGCCGACTCTTTGGACAAATTTGCCACAACTCTCGAGTCGAGTCACACATCGCTGGACACACTATTCGAGCCGTTCTTCGAACTAACCCGTGATATACTGACAGAACAGTTAGAGTCGTGGCGTCAGGCGGTGACCATAGGTCTGGCGCCGCCCACGATGGCCACCGCCAAAGAGGAACTCCACGCGACCATCGATTTGGTGCTGAACGAGTCGACGGCCATCCGTGATCTGGAACAGGCGGTCGACGCCTTCATTGCCCGCGCGAACGTCAACAACGCGTCCACTCTGGCGGTGGTGACGGGACTCCTAACCATCGGTCACTTTGTGTTCGCCTGTCCGTCGAAACATCTGCTGTTATCGCAAACCAACTCAAAGACATCACAACCAGTAAATCCGGTGCTGAAGTTGTCTATAGATCACCACTCGATGTCTAAGAAGCAGCACAAGAGAGCGATCTCTTTGCAGAATCGGAACCAAATCCCCGGTTATGTGGAAGCGGGCCATCACTTCAACGCAACGCACGAGTTAACGAAACCGATCTACTGTTCCGGGTGTTTGTGTCCCATTTGGGGCACATTTGGCTTGACGTGCGCTCACTGCCAGATGTCTGTCCACAACTGGTGTATGAAGAGCGCCGCGTCGAACAACCCGTGTCCCGGCCCGCAGTCAGACAACCAATCAAACGAAACGACACCATCGTTGAGACCGGGGAAGAAGAGTCGGCGCTGGAATTCAGACAGATATACGATACTCGATATGATCAAGAAGACGGTTGCGCCCAACCATCCCGAATACAACACTCCGCCACTCATCTCCTCGTCCACCTCTTCCTCTGACGACGAGGACGACGACGTCACGTAAGCCTCTTCTCCGCCTCCTTTAGCACATTATTTTCATCTCTCACTCCGACTGTCTCTACACTCGCATCACATGCCTGTCCCTCTCTATCCCTCTATACCTTTGATCTTTACAACAGTCGATAATAAGCTATTAATTGTTTAAATAGTTTTCCAATTCCTGTCGTTTAATCCCATTTAATACTCATTTTAGTTAACGTTATATTTGTCTGTTTTGTGAAGAGTTTAGTATTAAATTTGCCGATTATTCTGTTCACTAGAACTGGAGTCACATCACAGACATTGTCAGCCACTGGTGACACTCAGGCATCACACAAGTCCACGACACCGACGCCTCCACACACTATATCTCGTAGCGAATCGTTTAAACAACGGGTAAGCATTGGATGAGAAATGGGTTTTAATTTCATGTCAATTCCTAATGTGTTTTAATTGCCACATATATTAGTGTATAAGTAATGCTATTTAATAGTGATGTTAATGCCGTCCACAGCCTATCGATTATACAGTTTTTATTGCAATTGTTGAGCGTTTGACCAAACAGTACAATACATTTGGGTCGTTGGCATTCGCCTCGTAATAAATGCTTAACTCATTTGCGTTCATAACAGCCTAACGCACAGCACGCGATCGCAATAAACAATATGCCTTTCCATTACTTATGCCTTTCCAATATGCCTTTCCATTACTTCCATTACCCGCTGACAACCCATTTGTTATCAGTATTTCTTATTGCTTTCTGGCCCTAAATTAGTGAACAGTTTTTAACAATAGTTATTATATTCAGTATTTGTGCCCAAAATCGTATCCAAAAGAAAACTCATTGTATTTGTGTTATTGTGTGTGATTTGCAGCGCAAAACCCAACCGTCATATCGGAAGCGCAGTGACCCGGCGCTCACCACATCCCATACAACTCTGGCCAACAACACACTCACCCACGACTTGAACTCCACTCCAGAAATCTCTGGATCGCCGACCTCGACATCGCCCGGCAATTGGCAGATATCGTCGTCCGAGGACGAGGACGACCCCAGTCAGGCCGATGCCCATCAACAGCACACGGGCGCCACCGGTACGCCCACCGGTTCAGTCACACCACAGCACACCATCGACGAGGACACACCGCCCCCATTGCCACCGCGACCCCCGTCCGAGAAACGGAGACAAATTCGCAACGAAATCATTGAGTCGGAGGAGCGGCACGTGGAGGTCCTTAAGTTCATTCACCACGTCTTCTACAAACCGCTCCAAAAGGACGGCTTATTAACGGCGGAACAGTTGTCGGCCGTCTTCTCGAACACGAAGAAGTTGATGAAAATCCACAATAAAATCTACAAAACGCTTAAAGCGATCAATAAGTCATTCGAGCAATCAGTTTGTGATATATTTTGCGGTCCATTGGGCTCACAGTTGGAGGACGAGGCGAGCGTTTTCTGCACCCGACACAAGTTGAACGGTTTGGACACATGGAGGGCGCGCAAGAAGGACTCGCGACTCAAGAACTTTCTCGACCCCGAGCTCCGCATGAAAGGCATTCCCGACTGTCCGCTCGCCAGACTCTCGCTCGAAGACCATTTGGCGTCCGTTTTTCAGAGACCACTGCGATATCAACTACTACTCGATCGACTACTTCAGGCGACGCCATCCGATTCCATAGAGTATCAGCTCATCGCCCGAGCGCTGGCCCGGAGTCGAGAGATTGGCTCCAAAGTGAACGAAGAGACGCGAAGGGCTGAGTCTCGGCAACGGCTCAGTGATATTAAACGCAAGACAGACATCGCACAGAACCTGACCCTCGACTTCACCGATCAGAACCTCGTACACGAGGGGCCCCTGACCTGGAGGATCACCAAACAGAAGTGGGTCGACGTCTGGCTAATACTGACGGATAAGATTCTAGTGATCCTAACGCGCGACTCGAGCGATAAGTTTACGCTTAAGTATCACACGAACCCCTCGCAGAAGACTAATTCGATGAACAATAAGACACAGTACTCGCCGATTGTCTTATTGCACGACCTCTTCACGCGAGACGTGGCCACAGATCCGACCGCTTTCTTCCTCATATCCACCGATCAGGACGTGTTCTACGAGTTCGCGGCCGCGACTCCTAAGGACAAGAAGCAGTGGCAGGAGTCCATCCACAGCACTACCTTCAGTGCCAACAAAACCACTCAACACGTCATCAAACTTAAGGACCTCACGTCTCAGCCCAGCGCTGACGAGGAGGTTAAACCCAAAGATGACGAGTTAGTGACCGCCGACAGACCAGAGCTCGCCGACGAGTCCAACACCAGTGCTCTCAGTGATGACCAAAACAATAATAACAGCAGTAATACAACCCCCGAAGAGCCGCCCAAAGAGGACGCGACTGAACCGCAAGCAACACAACCGCCGAATCAGTCGAAAGTGGAGGGAATCATACGATATGTGCGCGAAGACGAGTGCAAACCAGTCCTCATACCTCCCACTCGAGTCACGATATCCACGGAACCCAATGTGTCGGAAGCGCTGGCCGTCCACTCACCCGAACATCGCATCAAAGAAATCGACGAAAGCGTTAGACATCTGTTGAATGAGAAGAGAAATATTTTGGCGAAAATGAGAGGTTTGTGTTCACAACTGTTTCTCTATGGAAATGATTACTAAATTAATTGAATGCTTTGTGGAAACAGGTATTAAAGATCAATACGAGTGGACTGTTGTCAGCGATTTGGGAGAACACGACGACGTGTCCAGTGCTGCACGAGAGGTGACATTCTTCGACACTGGTATGCATTGTAGTCACTGTCATCACAGTTGATGGTTAACGACATTGAACTGATAATTTGATTTTGCTACCCTTAAAGCAATGTCTTTAGTGTCATCCCTGGGCACGGGTGGCTTAACCACCGATTCGTACGCACCATTAGTGAGCCTTCGCGACCAAATCGATGTCCTTCTGCAGCGCATAGCTCTCTCGCAAATAGAGAGCGCGCGGGCCGTTCCCGACAGCGACTCCGCCGCGTATTTGGGCGCCAATGAGAGCACCGACGAGACGGCCGTTTACTTTTAGACATCACACAAATGTAGTCCACTTTATATATCTGTAAATAAATTTATTTTATTTGTTGTTATAATAATTAAACAAATTTTTCCCATTCATTAAATTAAATCAAATAAATGCAATGAAATGTTTATTTGTTCACAAAATGTCTATTTAATTATTTCTCATTAAATTTAATTCAATATCAAATGTGTTTTGTTTAACTAATAGTGTATTTATGGATTGAATTCAATCTCTTGCGAAGTATTCTCATTAGTGTCGCTCTTTTTGGAAACTTTTTCAATGTTTTTATCCCTCTTTTTATTCATTCCGATGTATGTGTAGTCACTGGTGTTGGACAGGCCGGTGGCCACACAGACGGCCAAACCGCTTCTGTCGTGTTTCAAACTCTTCATTTCCTTCCACACCATTAGCGTCGAGTCATACCTTTCCACCGAACAGATGGGTGTTTGGCCTCAAAATACAAATTAATGTCTCATTAGTTTATACCTGTATTTGAATACATAATTCTAAATACCATTATAGCCTCCGATGACATACAACTGGTCTTCGATGACAGCGGTTCCGAAAGTGCTTCGCTTTGAGCTCATGTTTGCCATCGGATGCCACGTCTTTAGCTTACAGTCATATCTTTCAACGGATTGAAGTCTGATTGAAGCAAAATGAATGCAATTAAGATTTTCTTACATAAGAAACAACAGGAAGTTTAAAACGACAACCTTTCGAACCCATTGTTACCTCCGATGGCATAAAGGGAGTGACCAAATGATACGAATCCAAGACTAGTTCGTGGAGTGACCATCGGATGAATGAAACTCCAGGTATTGGTGGCGAAATCATAGACTTCGACGGTGTTCTCAATGATCTGATCGTTGAGTCCGCCGGCGATATAAATCTTCTTTTGATAGACACACGCACTGCCGTCACTCCGAGACATATTCATGTCCTCAAAGGCCTCCCACTTATCAGTATTGGTGTCATATTTCTCACATGTTTTGACCCGTTGTCTGCCATACATACCTTTCCACCGAACAGATGGGTGTTTGGCCTCAAAATACAAATTAATGTCTCATTAGTTTATACCTGTATTTGAATACATAATTCTAAATACCATTATAGCCTCCGATGACATACAACTGGTCTTCGATGACAGCGGTTCCGAAAGTGCTTCGCTTTGAGCTCATGTTTGCCATCGGATGCCACGTCTTTAGTTGACAGTCATATCTTTCAACGGATTGAAGTCTGATTGAAGCAAAATGAATGCAATTAAGACTTTGTTACATAAGAAACAACAGGAAGTTTAAAACGACAACCTTTCGAACCCATTGTTACCTCCGATGGCATAAAGGGAGTGACCAAATGATACAAATCCAAGACTAGTTCGTGGAGTGACCATCGGATGAATGAAACTCCAGGTATTAGTCGCGAAATCATAGACTTCGACGGTGTTCTCAATGATCTGATCGTTGAGTCCGCCGGCAATATAAATCTTCTTTTGATAGACACACGCACTGCCGTCACTCCGAGACATATTCATGTCCTCAAAGGCCTCCCACTTATCAGTATTGGTGTCATATTTCTCACATGTTTTGACCCGTTGTCTGCCATTGTGTCCTCCCATCGCATAAATCATACCATCGATGGAAACGGTGCTCACATAACATCTCTGGTCACCCATTGGTGTCCTTTCGTACCATTTCTTGGCAATCGGATTAAAACACTGAACAGTATTCAGTATTTCAGTGCCATTTGTTCCTCCGATCACATAAACCAATCCATTGATTATCTGAAAAGGTTTTTAAATTAATATTAAATTTATTCAAACTATAAACTACTGTCTCCGAGACCTCCATTCCGTGGTAAGCGCGCGGACTATCATGTGATAACTTAGTGTCAAACCACTTATTGGTTCGGATATCATAGACCTCCATGAGAGTGGAGGGCACCCCTTCCTGCCAGCCCCCAAAGGACATGATAATCTGATGGGGAATACGAGGTCTAATAGGTTCAGGAGTGAGGCCTACGTATAAACCGTTTCCGTCCTTTTCTGTTAGCGTATAAATAAAAGTAATTAATTTATCATTAATTTTAAAAGTGTTTTACTTCTTGTAAATGAATTGTATTTTTCTTTAAAACTGTGGACTAAATGAAGGCATTCATTGTCTTCACTGATGATAGCATTTCGGGTCATCTCATCGATGAAAGGCATGTCAAGTCTGGCGAACCGTATTCTCGATATAAGAGCCGAGAGATAACCTCTTCGGGCGTCGATGTCGTGATGAACCCAACGAATGATGGCATCGAAAACTGTTCTCTCGGTTTGGATATTGAGCTCATCGTCGAGTATAAGTGTCACCAATTCATCCAAATCTAGATCCGAAAAGTCGACACATATGCTGACAATCTATGGCAACATATGAAGAATTATTATTTCACATGAAAATGAATTCAAAATTAAGATTTCTATTCAGACTTCAGTGAAATGGGTTTTAATGAAGGTATAGGAGGCGTTTGAGAGGCGGTGTCTGTGCTTAAGACCCAAATGGAAGATTTGGACGCAATTCTGGACATCGAGTCGTGTCATCAGGAAAGTGAGACTCGAGTCCAACACGTCTTGGAGTTCGTACTCAACGGCCGTATCAATGAGTGACCAAACGGTGTCGTTGTCCGTCTCAATGGATCCATTGTAAGAGCAGTCGACTATTATTTTGAGGACACATTTGTTCACATTTGTGAGCAAAACTTTTTTCGCCACAAATCCGTTGTCGAGAGTCACGTCCTCGGCGTCTGAAGCATTCATCTGTTGGTCCACGTATTGAGTCAAATGGTGACCCAATGCCGAGATCACCGCAAAGTGTGCCAACTCTGCGCCCCCGTCTTCGGTCACAAGCATTATATCAACGAACTCTTGCTTTTGTCGCAAATCTCGCAAAACGTCTCCCCTATCGTCATATGTCTCCCAATTGAAGGCAGTCTTCGGGTGTGCGACCACATCTTTAGCCACATTTGCTGTGGATTCGCCCGCATGTGATAACTGGCCACTCATTTCAGTTGAAGACATTTTGGCTTAGATTACGGCTTAAATCCGTGCAATTGATTTGAAAAATGGTTAATTGTTAGGACATGCGCTCCATAGAGACAAATGAGAGGAAAACTATTACCAAAAATTGTATTAATTTCTCTGAAGTTGTTTAAAGTGTGGTCTCAAGAATTAATTGAGCGGAAAATATACCTTAAAAACTAAAGCATTCAATAATGTAATACAATGATTACAAGTGAACAATACATACAAATGCATGCATTATACTGGTATATGATATAAATTATAGCAATAGTTTAAATATGATATGAAATAACTCTTTAGACTTAGTGAAGATTTAATGGTATTTATTAGATCTGAATACTCGAGTACTTTCGGTCCTAATCGGAGCCTTCGTCAGGAGTATTACAAATTATGAGATTAAATATCTATTATGTTATTAGCTCTGAGGACAACAAAGTATTTTTCAATTTTTATATATAACTCTAAACCAATTGAACCGTTAGAATGAATTATTGAATGCATTAGATTCTGGATTTATTAAACACTGTTTAGAATATTCTCAATATTTTCTTAAAGTTGCAACATTTACATACATTTATAAAAACTAATTTATATTTTATTATTTCATGTTCAAATAATATAAAATACAAATATCATTATAAAATACAAATAAGTTATTTTGTAGTCGAACCGCTATTATATAAAACATACAAACAATACAATTATTAAATTAACCTCAAAATCTATGATATAGACAATGATAGCACTCAATGACTATTTAATCATTCAATTCAAACCAAACCATCAAATACTGGACTTAAGTATTCATACAATTTCATCGATAAAACGCGAGAATCACTAAAAGGTGTCCACAAATGAGCGCTCAATTCATGTACCAATTGTTTTCGTATATAATGTCTGTGTTCTCATTGAACGACACGATGTCTAACTTCGGGCCGAAGTATTTGATCACATAATGGGAGCCGTCGGCCGGGCCTACGATCTGCAGCGCAATCAGTATGATGTCGACCAACTGTCCCAAGAAGAGGAACCCCAGCGTACAGAACTTGAGTAGACCTAAGGCCGGGTAACCCAAGTAGAAACGGTCGGCGCCGAACATCCCTAAGAATATCGACAACAGGAGTGCCGTCTCATACGAGTAGCCATTCGTGTGGCGACAGTCCACTGGCATCGAGAAGTTCTCACTCCCGGTGTCCTGACATACCAGTCCACTCGTGAGCGTGCAGTTCACGTACGCCTTGTTCTTCTTATTACAGGTGCGCGGCTGTTGTGTCTCGGGATCGACATCCAGTTTATGGCACCGGTATTGGCCTAATCGGAGTCCATTGCAATCCACGTGATATGGGGTCCGTTCCGCGGCCGAGGACTCGTTGGTTACCACGTGTTTGGTCACCACTGGTGTCAACGGGTCGTTGTCTGCCTTACGAGTGGCCGACGACGAGGGCATCAGTTGATTGTCACCGCCGATGGACACGTCGTTCGAGCGCTTCCGGTGCCGCCTGTTATGGATGTCACGGCTGTCCTCATCGCTATCATAGTAAACGTCTGGCAATTGTCTGTCACTGCCATCGATGGCATAGTTCATGCCATTGTAGTCATCGCGAGTGACAAAGTACTCGAAGTAGTTATCATTGGTTTGGTGTCCTCTCATCACCACTTCGTACGAGTGGTCCGTCGACTCCACGTTTGTCACCAAATGGACCATCATTTTCATCACAAGACATATAGTCATCGAGTGGCCAAACAATTGGCGCAAATATTGTCTCATATTTGTGTCCATCATATCCGTCACAATACACCAAAAATGCAATTATCACTCAAACTGTCGCTCAACTCATGAGTCAAACCAATTGTTTAGACATTTTTGGCCACAACTGTCGCATTGAATGCACCGTTTGGTTGACTAAATGATTGGCAAACTATAGGTTAAGACATGGTTTCGCTTTTTATATTACAATTCAATACATAACACAACAAATGGTTTTGAAATAATTAAAACTTGTGATGACTTTCACTACTACTCTGTATTTCCGTATATTATCGATATATTTATACACTATTTATACATCAATACACTATATATAGACAGAGTTCACAGCAATCACTGACATAATTATGTTTATATTTTACGATAATTTATAAATAGTTGTATTCAATAAATGCTTTTGTATTTAATATGAGGATTAAGATTAAGATTAAGATTAAGATTCAGATTTACGATCAAAAGTGTGTTGTGTTTGACATAAAGAGTTAACAATAATAAGCAAACATATGATCCAAACATGCATTCACTGACTCACCCATAGATGTCTCCATTCACTGACATTGTGTTGAATGTAATTCTGTCAATGAATTTGTGAATCACAAGAATCTTGTTGTACTGTACGGTAAGACAGCACACATTTGGGTGCTTACATTTAAACAAGGTATTAATTAAACTAGAATACTACCACTATACGTAATTATATCTTTGACTCAAGGAAACAGTAGCTTATTTGAGGGAAACTGCTGTCTTAAGTTTTTGTTAAACTTAAGTTTAACTTAAGTTTATAAGCTTTATAGCCAAATAATTGCCTGATTCTTGATTTATTTTACTCTAGTTTTAAAAATATTTGAGATATGATACTTGACTGCATATTGAATTTTAAATGATTGTGAATTTTGTATCAATAACAGGTATATTTGGTAATTCACCTTTGATATACTAATTAAACAACTTTACGTTAAGAATTTAATTTAAAAATAATGTTACAAAATTTGAATATAAATCAAATGCTAAAACATTTAGATTTGAAAATATTTCTGTTTTATTAGCGAATAAATGATATTTTTCTCAAATTTTTACATTTCAATCAACTTTGAATGTCTTCCTAATGAGATCTTGTGATCTATCGCTCCAACACTTTTCCAGTGAAGACATATCTGCAAACAATAACAGTGACCACAACGGCCACACATACCGTTCCCGTCATTCCCAACGCAAACAGACCCTCTCTCTGACGCTGTCTTCTTCTTCTTCTGACACTATTTACTGATGAACTGCTCGTCGTTTTCGAGACACTCTTCGGTGGTATCTTCTCAACACTTAATCCAATCGTGTCTTTAATGGCCACAAAAGATAACCACTTTTATAATAGTTTCAAATTACAATTGAGAAATGATTTTATAATTAATTGTTGGCACGATTTGTATAATAAAAGCAATTAATGATAATTTACTAATAAAATCAGCGTTTAATTGAATTATGAGATTATTTTATCATAGAAACCAATTGTGGTGATAATGTTTGCAATATTTCTACTCATGTGGTGACTGTTATCCGAAGAATGGTTTACCATTTAAGTGTCAATCAATTGGTGTCATACCTATGGTATCGATATCATATCCTTATTATGAATAAAATGTGATTTACTTTACAAAAATTTATATAAAATAAACAAAATTACTTTTTTATCAACATATTAATTTAGTTTAGATAAAAATTCAAAACTCATTAAATGTGTAAAGATATTATTTTTGAATCCTACCGTAAACAAAATCTCTGTACAGGTACATTTATAAAATAATACCATTCAATTAAATTTATTTAAAAATCCTAATCATATGTATGATAATATGTTTACAAAATAAATTTCGTTTTCTCATTTAGTACTACTATGATTTTGCCATTTAAATCTCGTTTTAATGGAAAAGTTATGTTTTCATCTCTTTTTCATGCCGTATATATAAATTCTCTAAAGAATATTCTTTGAGCTCTTATTTGGAGACCTTTTTGCAAAATTACTGGCATTCAGACGATCCGTGTATTTCATTCAAGTTTATCTCCTTTTTCAAGAGTTCTTAAGAATTTTTTTTGAAATTCAATTCAATTGCATTCAATGGAAATATAAATATATATTATTCTCTAGAAAATCTTTTTAAAAATATAAAATTATTTTGTATCATAAAAGATTTGGTAAATGTCTACTTGTATAAAAAATTGTTCAAGACTTATTAAATTTAATGATCACTTAAATTATATTTGGTATCTAAAACTCAAATAGGATTTATTGTATTATTGTAATTTAAAATATAATTTTAAAAATTATGATTAATATGCCATATTTATAAAAATTTATACTAATAGTATATAATAATAATAATAATTTATTTTTAGACTTTCGCTAAAATAAAGTTCTAATGAATTAATTAAGATAAAAATAATATGAAATTTATTTACAAACATAACAATTTTATGACTTTTATTTATTTAAAGGAAAAAGGCAAACAAACAGCAAAATAATTGACAAACAAATAGACATAAACAAAATCATTAATTCTATATTAAATAGAAATAAATGACTGCAAAGAAAATTATATAAAAATAATACAAATATTACAGTGTATTAAGACATAAACATATTAAGCAAGACAAAGGCATCGAAACTAATGGTGCGATTTGTTGACACTTTATATGAGAATTATAGTCATTA